TTTTGTCCGGAGCATGTCTGGAACGTCCGGAACATTGTTCGTGGCCAACATAGGATCCCAGAGCACCTCTCTCGAAGGAGGTGCGGCCACACGGCGGCGGCCCCCCCGCGCGGCACGGATCCGCCACGGGCCGAGCTGCATCCAGCCGCGGAGCCGAGGCGCACGCCGGCACGGCTGACGGATCCACGGGCGTGGTGCGGAAGGCGCCCGATCCGCGGATCGGGGAAGCTGCCCTCCGACGCATGATTTGGACGCCCGAAATGGGTACCGAAAGAATGGGTACAATGCCCAACAGCAAATGTTGTCCCAAACCAACAGCGGCCGCTGTTGGGCAGGCGGCCTCCTGTCTCGAATGGACACAGGCCGCGGCGGCGTGGACAGCGAGCCCTGTTCAAAATGAACAAGATCCGCTGTTGGGCATTGTATCCATTCTTTCAGTACCAATTTCGTGCGTGCAGACATGAGGCCAACGCAGCCCGATTTAGCAACGCAGCGCGCGGATCCCGTCTGGAAACGGGGCCCGTCGATAATCCAGTCGCCCTGATCCGTGTCGGCTCACATGTCGGAACTCCCTCGACGGAGAGCGGGGCATCGGGGGTGGCCGCGGATGTCTCGGCCAGCACCTCCTCCGCGCTTCTCCTCTGGACCTCCCCCCCTCCCTCGTCGCGACATCTCGCTTCTGCGCAGATCTGGGAGACGTAAGACTGAAGGGGCCCCAGGACACACAAATAAATACACACAAATAAAATGATTCACCATATTTTCCCATATTTTCCGGGTTTTTGTCTTCCCGCCCAATTCCCATATTTTCAAATTTTTCTAGGGGATCGACGATTAATTGTGTCTGTGTGTTTTTTTTCCTCCTGAAAGACTCGGGCTCGGGGGACTCGGGCTGGCCTGACAGGGCCGCCGAGAAAATGACGAAATTCAATGCGACACCCCCCGTGCAAGCGTCCCGCACAGACCGGACCGTCCAAAACCAGGACGGGCCCGCCAAGACGCCTCCGCAAGCGCTCAGGTTCCCGCAAGCTCGAGTGTCGCGTTTTCCCGTGAGGGCCTCCAGGCGCGGTCGTCCGCGCCATCTCGCGCCGCGGCCCCCATCCTCCTTTGATGAAGGCCCCCCCGCTTCCGCTCTCTCCCGTCTCTAGTCAGCGGCAGGGATGCAACGAGGGATGGGAGGAGGAGGAGGAGGAGGAGGAGGAGGAGGAGGAGGAGGAGGAGGCGGAGGCGAAGGAGGGAGGAGGGAGGAGGGAGGAGGGAGGGAGGGAGGGAGGAGGGAGGGAGGGAGGAGGCAGGAGGAGGGAGGAGGGAGGAGGGAGGAGGGAGGAGGGAGGAGGGAGGAGGGAGGAGGAAGGAGGAAGGAGGAAGGAGGAAGGAGGAGGAGGAGGAGGAGGGATGGGCTGCGCGTCTCGGGGATCCTGGTGGCTGGGCGACAGGATCATCCTGCCGTCCAGTCGTCAGGGGGTCCCCCTGGGAGGCTGCAGGCTCTGGCACCAGCGCGGCGGCGGCCAGGGTCGTGGAGTGGGCGCTCTGCGCCCTGCTCTGCGACGACTGCTCGCCGTCTCTCCCCTCCTCCACTCCTTCGCCGAGGGGGGACGGCAAGGGGGGGCGGGCTCAGGGGGGGGGGAAAGCGTTCACGGGGATTCGGTGACGCATCGCCGATGAATCGGCGAGAGGCCCTCGATAGCCAGACCTCACGTTCCTGGGCGGGGCGTGGCGGAGCGACCATCCCGCGGTCGCGGCGCATGGGCGGCTGGGGGTCGGTGTCTCACCCCCCTGCGCCAGCCCCACCCCTGTCGGCGCCTCGGATTTACTTCTGGCGTGAGTCGGCGGTGGACAAACCTCCCTTTCGTAAACCACCCTGTAGTGAAACTGGCCTAGGACCGAAGCCGACGGACCTGGACCCGCAACAGTGACGGCCGCCACGCCCTCTCGCGAACCGAAAACGGCCAATTCGCTAATCGACGTGTCATGGTCGACCTCCGAGTGAGAAAGGGAGGGGCCGTGGAGGGGAGCACGCTCAGGAGCCCAAGGGCAGACGAAGTGTTGCTTCCGGCCGCAGCAGGCCACGACCACGGACACCGACGGACACCCTTGCCGACGCAGGTCCGAGGGACAGCCCAAGGGCCAGAGAGCCCTTCCCCAGCGCGTCCCTGCTTCCAACGCGAAGCCTTCGGCCCGAACCCAAGATGTTTGTTCTCTCTCTCTCTCTCTCTCTCGCTCCCTGTTCCTCGCCCGCCTCCCCCTCCTCTTCCTGCTCGTGTCCCGAGTCCTGCTGCTGCGTCTGCTCTTCAGAGCTGCTGGGGGGCGTTGTCCTCCATCCTCCATGCAACCGATGGCGCCCTCGCTTTGCACAGCGGTGACCACCAAACCCACTTACCGAGCATCCTGGTCCTCAGCATCGCTATTCTCCTCATCATTGTCAACGTTCCTCTCGTAGCCACCGCCGCCGTCTGTTGTCGTCGTCGCCGGCAGTCGGCTCCGTTGTCGACGTCGTCGTCCTTCACGGACTTCGAGGTCATACAAAATTCCCATCAATTATCCCAGCAAAGAATAACAGCGATGTGTAGGAGCATATCTGGAAGCATTCCCCTTACGATTCAGATGAGAATCCAGTTGTAGAATTCTGCTGTTCTCGCAGTGCAGTCGCATTCGCGATGACAGTCGCAGTGGCAACGGCAGTCGCAGTCACAGCCTCAGCCTGCCTCAGCCTCAGCCTCAGCCTGCTTCAGCCTCAGCCTCTGTCTGCCTTCAGCCTCGGCCTCAGCCTCAGCCTGCCTCAGCCTCAGCCTGCATCAGCCTGAGCCTCAGCCTCAGCCTGCCTCAGCCTCAGCCTCAGCCTGCCTCAGCCTCAGCCTCAGCCTCAGCCTCAGCCTCAGCCTCAGCCTCAGCCTCAGCCTTCAGCCTCGGCCTCAGCCTCAGCCTGCCTCAGCCTCAGCCTGCCTCAGCATCAGCCTGCCTCAGCCTCAGCCTCAGCCTGCCTCAGCCTCAGCCTCAGCCTGCTTCAGCCTCAGCCTGTCTGCCTTCAGCCTCGGCCTCAGCCTCAGCCTGCCTCAGCCTCAGCCTGCATCAGCCTCAGCCTCAGCCTCAGCCTGCCTCAGCCTCAGCCTGCCTCAGCCTCAGCCTGCCTCAGCCTCAGCCTGCCTCAGCTCAGCCTCAGCCTGCCTCAGCCTCAGCCCTCAGCCTCAGCCTGCTCAGCCTCAGCCTCAGCCTCAGCCTGCCTCAGCATCAGCCTCAGCCTCAGCCTCAGCCTCAGCCTGCCTCAGCCTCAGCCTCAGCCTGCTTCAGCCTCAGCCTCAGTCTGCCTTCAGCCTCGGCCTCAGCCTCAGCCTGCCTCAGCCTCAGCCTGCATCAGCCTCAGCCTCAGCCTCAGCCTGCCTCAGCATCAGCCTCAGCCTCAGCCTCAGCCTGCCTCAGCCTCAGCCTCAGCCTGCTTCAGCCTCAGCCTCAGTCTGCCTTCAGCCTCGGCCTCAGCCGCAGCCTGCCTCAGCCTCAGCCTGCTCAGCCTCAGCCTCAGCCTGCCTCAGCCTCAGCCTGCCTCAGCCTCAGCCTCAGCCTGCCTCAGCCTCAGCCTCAGCCTGCTTCAGCCTCAGCCTCAGTCTGCCTTCAGCCTCGGCCTCAGCCTCAGCCTGCCTCAGCCTCAGCCTGCATCAGCCTCAGCCTCAGCCTCAGCCTGCCTCAGCATCAGCCTGCTTCAGCCTCAGCCTCAGCCTGCCTCAGCCTCAGCCTCCTGCTTCAGCCTCAGCCTCAGTCTCTTCAGCCTCGGCCTCAGCAGCCTGCCTCAGCCTCAGCCTGCATCAGCTTCAGCCTCAGCCTGCCTCAGCATTCAAAATGTGGCCCGGCAATGGAGTTCTGGGAACTCGAAGAACACGAAGTGGCCTACAGTTGGCTCCGGGCATTCAAAATCATGCCCAGGAATGGAGTTCTGGGAACTCGAAGAGCACGAAGTGGCCTACAGTTGGCTCCGGGCAGTCAAAATCATTCCCAGGAATGGAGTTCTGGGAACTCGAAGACCACGAAGTGGCCTACAGTTGGCTCCGGGCATTCAAAATGTGGCCCGGGAATGGAGTTTTGGGAACTCGAAGAGCACGAAGTGGCCTACAGTTGGCTCCGGGCATTCAAAATGTGGCCCGGGAATGGAGTTCTGGGAACTCGAAGAGCACGAAATGGCCTACAGTTGGCTCCGGGCATTCAGAATGTGGCCCGGGAATGGAGTTCTGGGACCTCGAAGACCACGAAGTGTGTAACTGTTTGCTTAAAACGACTTCCGCGGATTCTCCCCGGCACCCGTCGGGCATCTGCCCAGACCCCCCTGAGGAGTCAAGATGCTTTCTTTTGAGACCATTAGAAACCTATCAGTCTTCGCTGTTAGGTAATTGCTACCGAACGAAGCCCAGCTGGACGCACACAAAGACAGACGGCTCTATTCAATAGTTGATCCCCTGACCACGCATAAAACTCGGAACGATTCGAGTTGAGACAAACGCGGCTCATAACCGCTCACCAGACCCCTGACACCTCCTGAGGCCCTGACCCGAATTTCGGGTTGGGGGGGGGGTACGGGTTCCATGTTTTTTTCAGCGTTCCCCGACCCCCCCCCCACTGGAAATGGAGGGCAAATTGAGGCCTTCGGGTTGGGTTGGGGTGGTTTGGTAGGTGGTGACAAACGCACCAGCTCTCCGAGCTGGGTCCAGCCGTGGCGACCAGGGGCCCCCACGGAACGCCAGCCACCGTGGTCCCACCCTGCACGACATGGACAAACTTCGCCACCACCCACGCGTGCCTGCCCGCGGCACGCCCCCCTCGCTCGACCCCCCGCAAGAGTGACCCTGGGTAAGAGTGACCTTTGGTGTGCGGCCTTTTTGGGGCCCAGGGGGGATAAAACACAAGCGCGCAAGACACTTTTACCGCATCGCGCTCGGCGATCGGGGGACCCCAATGGGCCCGCACCAAAGGTCACTCCGGCGAAGGGTCACTCATACGTGCAGTCGACTCGCGGCCTGCGCCACATACGTCTTGTACGTCCACTGGCACTTGAAGGCCACGGAGTACTCCCGGCCAGCCTCGGCACCGCGGCGCGGCGATGGGGGAGAGCCAGAGGCTGAAAAGGGAGAAGGGGCAAACACCGCCGGATCGCCCTCTGTGGCAAAATAACGGCACCTGCTCAGAGAAAAGGAGTGGAGGCGAGCGAGGAGCCGAAGGCGCTGCAGGTTTGGGTGCGAGTTGTCGGACACCAAGGGGGGCTCCAGTTCGAGCGGGGACATGATCCGACGGCACACACCCGCGGCCCCTCCCCACCAACGAAATCCATCCCGAGAAATCCGGGGAGTCGCGTAAGTATGGGTACTGGTTGTCCTCTCATGACTTCGCACTCTTGTACTGCCCACTTTTTCGGTTGGCGAATGACGAACGCCGCGCTGGCATGCCCAATCTTGATCGGGCGTGGACTACCCCGACTCAGCGCAAGAGAAAATAGATATGATATGTTGTGGGCGTTTCCCAAGCCCCGCTCAGACAATATGTAAGGCCACCTCCAGTGCCGCGAACGGTTCCCAAACCCGGCTCAGCCAAAACCTGGTGCTCCAAGATCCTGCAAAGTCTGGCGCTCTGGCTGAGCCCCGTTGGCGCTGAACCCCGTTACCTGCGGGTTGACGTGACACGAACTCTTCAGGCCTGGGATCCGGCCTCGGGCAGGCTAGCGCCGATCCCACGAGCAAGACACCAGGGAACGCGCAAACGACTGTCTGCCATGCGGGAGAGGGAATGCTGACCCAGGCCTGGATGTCAAAGACGAATGCACTCAACATCATGGATGATTACCGGGACGACGACGGACAACTGGAGATACACAAGCAATGTGGGTCACAGCTCGACCTGCCGCACATGCGAGCATCCATATTGTGCGCGACTACGGTGGGGCGCTGAAAAGGCACACTAACTCCTGGTACCCTAAATCCGCCGACCCTGTCGGCGTGTCTCGTCATCTTGCGTGGGTCGTCGTCGTCGTCGTCGTCGTCGTCGTCGTCGCCTACACTGCCCACGAGATCGTCACGTCGGCTCAAGAGGGGTGGTCGGCTCCCCTCGGGGGAGGGGAGCTGCCCACGACAGCGCCACGTCGGCTCCAATATCGAACGCATCTACAACTACACGCAGCAAAAGTACACCTTGTTGCGGAGACCAGGGGTGGCAATCATAATTTGATTTGGCGCGTCGGTCGGTCTGGGTGGACGGACGCCGCCTCACGACCTACGATGGAAGGCGATGGTCGTGCCGACGACGTTGCGTGCCAAAGCGTGGAAGCGATCGCCACGTTTCACGGCGAGGCTTGGCGGCAGCCAAAAGAAAAATCATAACACGAAAAAGCGTTCACCCTCGGACGGGGAATCCGGCACGAAAACGAATTTGAAAGCGCGGGGGATCGGATCGCGAATTTGCCGCTGGGGCACAGGCGGGGGAGGGAAGCGGGCTGCGCGAGGTCGAGGCCCCCAGGCACACGGCTGGTTTCGCTGAGCCAGGGGATGCGGGATGTCGGCGGGGAGCGGCCCAGGGGGCGGGGCCTCGGCGACGGGCAGCGCGGGCAGCCGATGCTCCGCGAAAAGGGGACACGTACAGAACGGCACTTAGCGGCCAGGGCGCGGTACACGGTGGGGGCGAGAGTGGCGGCACCCGACGCGCACCTCGCCCCGCTGGCTAGGTGTAGTTCTAGAAGTGCTCGGTTTTGTGGGGATGTCTCCGGCGAAACCAGCACGTACAGAACTACACCTAGTGCCTGGCTAAGTGTAGTTCTGAACGCGCTGGATGTCTCGCGCGGGGCGAGCACGTACAGACCAGCACCTAGCGAAAAGGGCGGGGTACACGTCGGGCGCGTCGTCGCGCCCCGCCCGCAGACCAGGAAGGCAAGGGCCGCTGAGCCCCCTGCAGGCCTCCGGGCGGAGGTGTCTGAACGTCCCGGGGCTATCAGAAGGAATTTCAACTTCGGCCTCTGCCCACATTGCTCCCCCTAGCAGAGTATCTCGCCTGGTCACTATGTTCCCCATTCCCGCCCGCTGCTTTGTCCTCCCCCTCCTCCGTTCTTCCTCTACCTGCCGCCCTCCGTTTCCCTGAGCGTTTCCTAGTTGCCCCTGGCCCCTGCATGGCGGCAAACGCCCGCGCCCCCCGCAGCTGAAAGACTCACCGTGCGCTCATCCTCCAATCCACTCGTGAGGCGCAAGCCTTGGTTCCAGACTGACACTGGCAAGCGACGCCGAGGCCCCGGCAAATCCAACAAGCGCGATCGGCCCCCTCGAATGGCGGGCGAACTAATACGTAAGACGATGTCGCAAAAGGAAGTTTGGAATTTCGGGATCCGCGCAAGAAGATAATCCACTCGCCCAAAGTGTAGTTCTGTGCCTGTCCGACAAGAGGGGGAGTGGTTGGCTCCTCCCGGGCGAGGGGAGCGGCCGCGACCCAAGGGAGAAGCCAATCTGCTCCCCCCGGTCGAGGGGAACGACCGCGACGCGGGGGGGAAGCCAAGCTGAGCAACGTCGTAACTCACTCGAAGGGAAGCCCCTTCCCTTTTATCCCTTCCCCTGGGGGGGGGGGTAGGGGGTTAAGGGGGTCGCTTCCGGATACGCTTCCTTCCCGGGCGGCTCCCGGTCCCTTCGGGAGGGGAGCCGCCGCGACGCGGGGGGGAAGCCAAGCCGAGCAACGTCGTAGCTGCCCCTTCCCTTTGATCCCCTCCCCCGGAGGGAAGGGGGGTTCCCACCCGGATACCCGGGGGGGGGGGGGGGGGAAGCCCGGGCGGCTCCCTTCGGGCGAGGGGAGCGGCCGCGACGCGGAGGGGAAGCTAATCTGAGCAACGTCGGTGTTTATTCGAAGTGAAGCCCCTTCCCTTCATCCCTTCCCCCCGGGGGGGGGGGTCCCACCAGGATACCCGGTGGGGAGGGGGGGGGGGCTCGGGCGGCTCCCTTCGGGGGATTCCCTGCCCACGAGATCGTCACGTCCGCTCCTAGAGGGGTGGTCGGCTCCCCTCGGGGGAGGGGAGCTGCCCACGACGCCGCCACGTCGGCTCCGAGAGGGGGGGTGGTCGGCTCCCCCCAGGCGAGGGGAGCGGCCGCGACCGGCGGGGAAGCCAACAAAAAATACTCCAAAAATCTCCTCCTCCTCCTCCCTCATCCGCCTCCTCCACCCTTCCTCTTCCCCCCCCACTCCTCCTCCTTCCTCCTCCTCCTCCTCCTCCTCCTCCTCCTCCTCCTCCTCCTCCTCCTCCTCCTCCTCCTCCTCCTCCTCCTCCTACCTCCCCCACTCGTATTCGTCTTCGTCGTCTTCAAGGTCGGCGGCACCGGCCGTAGGGCCTTCGCAATACACGCTAACTCACTGCAAACGCAAACACATATTGGCGTGACATGCCGTGCTCATGACGAGCATCATCGCAGACACGTCATGGAATGTGCCCCGCTTTTGGAAGACAGAAGTCGCTAAACCTTTCGGAGGTCCGCGCGGCTTTCGTGGGTCGATGCTGACCCCGTGGCGGCGCAGCTGGCCCCGCCCCTGGCGTGCGTCACGTGCGGGGGAGATGGCGGTCAGCGCCGACCCAAGAACACCGCGCGGACCTCCGAGCGTTACTGTTTGTCCAATTCTCCTTGTCTCGTTTAACTTCTCCGACCGCCACCTGGCGGGCGCGGCGGCCTCAAGTGCCGTCGTGTCGATCTTCACCCTGACAGGGTCTGGCGAGCCGCAGGCCACCGTCCCGGGGTACACGTTCTTCGTTATCCTCACCTGCCAAAGGCCGGACCCAGAACAGAAGGGGCCAAAGGAGAGAGATGCGCAGCACGGCGGACGATGTTCATACGGAGGCTGCGCTACGAGTGGAGGACTCATGCTTAGCAGAACACGAGGGCGGCATGGCATGATGATGACGAAGCTCATGGTGGTGATGACGAAGGTGGTCGTGGTGGTGTTTGTGGTGATGATGATGATGATGATGATGATGATGATGATGATGATGATGATGATGATGATGATGATGACGAGGAGGAGGAGGAGGAGGAGGAGGAGGAGGAGGAGGAGAGGGCGGAGGACGCAGAGGAAGACTAGGGCGAATCACTTCGGCAGCACGACGAGTAGGAGGGGAGGATGGCAACGAGATGCAGGAGGAGGGAGGAGCAGAGGGGTGAGGAGAAACTGAGAACCACGAGCGGAAAGAACGAAGGGGGGGCGATGAGGAACCGGCCCAAACATCGGGAGGCCGAGCCGGGAGCCAGACAGCGAGGAAGGAGAAGGCAAGTCAGGTGCCTTCGGGTCGGCATCATAACAAACAATGACACAAACATAACAACTGGGAGGCCCGCGCGGGTTCCTCGGATCGGCGCGGACCCCCCGCGCGGGGCGCGCCAAGGGCGGCGCCCGAGGCGCCGCCAAGGGGCTCCAGCGCCAATCAGAGAAATCCACGCGGAGCCCCGAAGGTTCATGCTCATGCAACTATGTCAGGGCCGAGGATCGAGGTGTTCCTTCCACGACGGGCCACCGGCTTCGCGAGCGGCGCCCCCCGCCGCCCTGCGCGGCGCGGTGGTGCAGGGCGGCAGCTCGGTCCCCCTGCGCGCGAGCCACCCGTGGCGAGCGCCTGGGCAGCTGCTTCGGGGGAAAACCTCATTCCACTTCTTTGGCCATATTTGCTCCCAGGTATTTTTCGGAGGCAAGAGGACGACTGGAGCCTGCCTGCGATCGATGTCCCGTCTCAGGCAAGCTTGTTTTCCCCACATTTTCCCATATTTTCCTTCCACCACTTCCCATATTTTCCCATATTTTCGGGGCAATCGACGATTAATTGTGTCTGTGTTTTTTTTCCCCTCCTGATGGAGATCAGGCAAGGTGGAACTCACATGCACGGCCCAGGGCTGAACGGAAAGGCGGCGACTTGAACAGCAACAGATGCATAGACATGCACCGTCGGAGATCGGAGGTCCGCACGGGTTTCTCGGATCGGCGCCGAAGCCCCTCTCTGGCGAGCGGAACGCGCCGAGGACAGCGCTGGAGACGCCACCAGGGGTGGTTCAGCGCCGGCCGAAGAAATACGCCGGACCTCCGAACGGTATGTTTTTGCAGCGCTTCATTGACCGTTCCCCTCCTACGACCTAAGACAGCCAGCCTATTTCCCCACCCGGCAAAGTGGCGTTGGTTAGTATGGCCGACCCACCACACATACCACGGCCGCCAGACAGGCCCGCGCCTGGCCGACCCCACCGTGCATACCACGGCCGCCAGACCCCAACTTGTCCCGGTGGTCCCGAGTATCCCGCCTCGCGCCTGGCCGACCCCACCGTGCATACCACTGGCCGCCACCGTGACCGCCAGACTTGTCCCGGTGGTCCCGAGTATCCCGCCTCGCGCCTGGCCGACCCCACCGTGCATACCACGGCCGCCAGACCCCAACTTGTCCCGGTGGTCCCGAGTATCCCGCCTCGCGCCTGGCCAACCCCACCCTGCATACCGCGGCCGCCAGACCCCAAATTGTCCCGTTGATCCCCGAGTCCCAGTTGTCCCGCCTCGGGCCCACGACGAACACGACAAAACACAACATAACATAACAGAGCATAACATAACGGAACAGAGCATGACAGAACATGACAGAACATGATCCGCTGGCCCCCTTGTGGGGCCACCAGGCTGCGAGGCGCGTGATTCGCAGTTTCCTGTACCAGTTGTAATTTCTAGTTTCCAGTGTTACAGTTCTGCTTCTTGCTGGTTACTGTAACTAGTTGACTTCTTGCTGGTTACTGTAATCAGTTGATTGACCGCGCGAGGGGGGGGAGGCCCAAACAGGATTTTCCAGCGTCCCCTGGGCGCGTTGTCTGAATTACTGGGGGGGCTCGAAATCAACACCCCTCACGCAGATCCGCGGGGTCAGGGTCCAAAAACACAACGGATTTGCCAGATTTCTGAAATTCGGTGCCACCCCTCACGCAGATCCGCGGGGTCAGGGTCCAAAAACACATGGGATTTGCCACATTTCTGAAATTCGGTGCCACCCCTCACGCAGATCCGCGGGGTCAGGGTCCAAAAACACATGGGATTTGCCACATTTCTGAAATTCGGTGCCACCCCTCACGCAGATCCGCGGGGTCAGGGTCCAAAAACACATGGGATTTGCCACATTTCTGAAATTCGGTGCCACCCCTCACGCAGATCCGCGGGGTCAGGGTCCAAAAACACAGGGGATTTGCCACATTTCTGAAATTCGGTGCCACCCCTCACGCAGATCCGCGGGGTCAGGGTCCAAAAACACATGGGATTTGCCACATTTCTGAAATTCGGTGCCACCCCTCACGCAGATCCGCGGGGTCAGGGTCCAAAAACACATGGGATTTGCCACATTTCTGAAATTCGGTGCCACCCCTCACGCAGATCCGCGGGGTCAGGGTCCAAAAACACATGGGATTTGACACATTTCTGAAATTCGGCGCCGCCCCTTACGCAAATCCGCGGGGTCAGGGTCCAAAAACATAGGGGATTTGCCACATTTCTGAAATTCGAACCCATCACGCACATCCATCGCAAGGCGTGGTAACCCAAACTGCGAGAACTCCCTCGGCCCTTTCATCGCAAGGTGTGGTAACCAAGCCCTTAAACCATACACGTCTTACCAATCGCCAGGTGTGGTAACCCCTCTTGTGATCAGTTGGTTTTGCTGATTGCGACTCGGCTTCGCATGTAGTTTCGATACTGCTTCACGACAGCGCCAAGGCCTCATGACTTAGCTCTTCCATGGCCCATTCTCCGAGAGAGGGGGCCGGCGGCAGGGGGCGAAGCCCTTACGGATATATCAATGTCATGTCAAAGTAGACATTAACATCAGAGTGAGGGGGCCGAACGGTCATTCATTGTCCCTGGGTGCGTGGCTGAAGTGAGATTCCGCGGTGCGGATTCGTGTTGTTGTTGTTTGTTGTTGTTGTTGTTGAACATTATTAATTCTAAAGAATAATTATTGTTGGGACCCCTGGTGCACGGCCCCCCTGCGCCGCCTAGGCCGCAGCTACATTTTCATCATTTTCGTGAGGAAGCCTCAGGTAATTCGATGTGATCAAGATCCGGTTGTTTTGTTCCCCCCGCTTTCCCTTGCAAAAAACACTATAAAATGACATTTCTTGTTCTAATATAATCAAATTTCAAGAATCCCTTGCAAAAAATAAGGTAAAGTGGACATTCGCGCGCGCAAGACGAAATCCTTCCAAAAGCTTAGTGTTCGGAGCGATTTTAACATAAAAACATCAAAAAACCAATGGTTTTTCAACAAAAAAATGTCAAAATCTCATCCCGCGCGCTCTTGCGGATTCGTAGGAAACCCAACACTTTTTAAACATTTCTGTCAAACGGGCTTTTGCGAGCAACTTTTTCGAACTTCTGCGACAACGGTTGCGCACCTGCCAGGGCCATCATCCCTGTCAAATAATACCATGCGGGACACATTCGTTTTTTCTTCGCGCGCGCACGCCGTCGTCGTCGGCCGCGGGGCCCTGAATAGTAGCCACGGTCGTCCGCATGCCACGAAGTGAAGTGTCCGAACGTCATAGGGCGGGAAGCTGGGTGTGGGTGGTGGCGAAGAGTCGTTTGGAAATTTGGTAGAGCTTGAACCGGCCCCCCCACAAAGTGGGGGTATTGCCCGCCTCCTATGAAAACCCTGGCACTGGTGAGAACGGAGTGTCCCCACGTGCTAGTAATTGTTGTTGTTGTTGTTGTTGTTGTTGTTGTTGTTGTTGTTTGTTGTCGTCGTCCCACCCGCAACCCGCGCCCCGCGACCCACCCGCGACCCACCCGCGACCCACCCGCGACCCACCCGCGACCCACCCGCGACCCACCCCGCGACCCACCCCGCGACCCACCCCGCGACCCACCCTGCGACCCCCGCGACCCACCCGCGACCCACCCGCGACCCACCCCGCGGCCGCGACCCACCCGCGACCCACCCGCGACCCACCCGCGACCCACCCCGCGACCCACCCCGCGCGCGCCCACCCCGCGACCCACCCGCGACCCACCCGCGACCCACCCGCGACCCACCCGCGACCCACCCCGCGACCCACCCGCGACCCACCTTCGACCCAAACCACGTTCAAGGTACAAACCAACATTTTCGGCGCCTGCGGCGGGCTTTTTTTGCATTCCTTCCAGGTGGAGAGCCCGCGACCCACCCCGCGATCAACTCGCGACCAACCCGCGACCCAAACCACGTTCAGGGTACAAACCACATTTTTCGGCGCCTGCGGCGGGCATCTTTTGAATCGTTCTAGGTGGAGAGACCGCGGCCCACCCGCGACCACGTTCAGGGTACAAACCAATTTTTTCGGCGCCTGCGGCGAGCATCTTTTGCATTCGTTCCCGGTGGAGAACCCGCGGCCCACCCGCGACCCAAACCACGTTCAGTGTACAAACCAATTTTTTCGGCGCCTGCGGCGGGCTGCTTTTGCAGGAGGACGAGGAGGGGGAGGAGGAGGAGGAGGAGGAGGAGGAGGAGGAGGAGGAGGAGGAGGAGGAGCAGCGGAGGAAGAGGAGGAGGAGGAGGAGGAGGAGGAGCAGCAGGAGGAGGAGGAGGAGGAGGAGGGAGGGGACGACGACCATGACGTCGACGACGACGAAAAGGAGGAGGGTGGAGGATCGGGAGGGGGGGAAGAGGAGGACGACGAGGAGGAACATGACGAAAATGGGAGGACGATGATGGAAGGACGAGGGGGGGAGAGGGAGGACGAGGAAGAAGCGGAGGAGGAGGAGGAGGACGAGGTGGAGGAGGAGGACGACGATGACGATGAGAACGAGGACGAGGAAGAGGAGGAGGAGGAGGAGGAGGCGGAGGAGGAGGAGGAGGAAGAGGAGGAGGAGGAGGAGAAGGAGGAGGAGGAGAGCGCCATCGACAAGGAAAGTGGGGGCCACGAGGTCCGCCGGCTTGACGACGCCCGCGTCGCCCGCGCCCGCCCCCTCACTCTTATCCGCAATTGCGGGGTGCATAACATAACAACACACACCATATCAGAACATGGCATAACATAATTCGACCAAACACGACATGACGTAGCATAACCCAGCATAACGTGATACAGCTCAACATTACATTTCATATCATAGCACAACACCACATAACATAACATGCCACAACATACCATACCAGAACAAAGCACGGGCATGACACAACATGACAGAGCAGAACATAGCAATGTCATACCATCATAGGGCATACCACAACATCACATAACATACCATGGCAGAACATTACATACTAGTAAGCGGCATAACGCAGCATGGCATAACATAACCAAGCATAGCATAACACACCTTGACATAACATGTCGAATCATGCCATAGCATCACAGAACATACCATAGCACGACAGCAGAGCATAGCGACAGATACAAACATAACATATCGTCACAGACCATACAGAACCAAGTCGTCAACATGCAAAGCATCATAGACCATACCAGGACAGAACATGACAGATCATAACTGAGCAAAACATAACACGCTGTGACATAACATATCATACCATGACATAACAGCACAGAGCATGACATAACAGAACACGAGCATGACAGACCAAGACAGAGCAGCACATAGCACTGCCACGACAACATAGGGTACATCATAACACCACAAACCATATCGTAGCAGAACATGACAGAGCAAACTACACCATAACACAACATACCATAACATTACCGAGCATGCCATAACATACTTTATACTAACATATCGTGTTGTAGCACAACGTCACATAACATATCAAACCACGACAGCAGAGCAAAGCGACACATACTAGCAGAGCATAACATCATATACCATACAGAGCCGAGCCGTCAGCATACATAGCATCACATACCATACCATATCATAACATTCCATAACATAACACGACATAGCAACACATGTCATACCATCACCGAACATACAATATCAGATCATGACATGGCATATCATTTCATGACATGATATTATCACAGAACATATCATATAACGGCAGCAAAGCCTGGCGAAGCATACTAGCAACGTGTATCGAAATATACTATACTGAGCCCAGCTGTCAACAGTATCACATAACATAACATACTAAAACATAGCATGGCATGCCATACCATGTTATTACATCGTGGCACACATCAGATCATACAGTAACATCTCATATCAGATAGTGACAGAGATGAGCATACCACAGCATACTCAACAAGGAGATGAAAGCACCTGCGTGAAGAGGAACATCCTAACAAACGATGCATCTAACGTCACAAGCGTCACGGCGTTACGCCGGCCCGTCGAGAACAGAACAGGGCATAATAGAGCAGAACATGAAACTAATGAGACTAAATGGACTCGCTTGAATCGCTCGAAGCAGAATGAGGTTACGCTGAGGCTTTTTCCACTTAACAGCTCGCCTTATTAGCATCCCGACGCCCGGCGAGGGAGGCCAGGCCCCCAGCATCCCCCCTCCGCCCACGGCCCGCGCCCCCATCGTGGCCCACCCCCCACTGCGCTTGTGTGGAAAGCTGTTCTCGGCGGTGGGCAAACCTCCCTTTAGTAAACCTCCCCTTAGAGAAAACGGCCTCGGACCGAAACCGACGGACCTGGACCCGCAAAAATGACGGCCGCGGCGCCCTCTCGCGAACCGAAAACGGCCGATTCCTTAATCGACGTGGTGTCAGGGTAGGAGGTCCATCACCCTCCGATACTGTTCAGGGCCTCCTGCCACATCGGGGAGCCATCCCTCTCCTGGGAGCAGGGCGAGTTGAGACAGCAACAGCTCAAGATCGGCCCTTGTCCATCTTCATCTGTGGACGCCGACGACCGCTGCGATGCACTTGTCGGTGGAGACGAATCCAATTCGGTCGGTGGTTCCAAAGACACTCCTGCTGGAATATGGCTTGGAGTTGATGGCATCGCTTCACCGGTGCTCGGAGCTGCGTCCAGCTGGCGCCGAGGGCCCCTCCGGAAGGCCAGCCGCCGGTGCTGGAGGGGCTCTCGAGCCAGCGGCCGCGAGATGATCCAGCAGGGCGAGTTGAGACCCCTCCCTGGGTCCGAGCACACGAGGGCTGGGAGCGGACTAGCGTTATCCACTTGTTTCCCTGGGAAACACGAAACCTTGAGCCAAAATGGCTACGGACAAGGAAGAGGAAGAAGGGGAGGAGGAGGAGGAGGAGGAGGAGGAGGAACCCTGGGTCCGGAGGCGGGAGGAGGAGGAGGAGGAGGAGGAGGAGGAGGAGGAGGAGGAGGAGGAGGAGGGAGGAAGGGGAGGGGGAGGAGGAGGAGGAAGAGGAGGAGGAGGAGGAGGAGGAGGCGGGAGGAGGAGGAGGAGGAGGAGGAGGAGGAGGGAGAAGGAGGAGGAGGAGGAGGGAGAAGGAGGAGGAGGAGGAGGAGGAGGAGGAGGAGGAGGAGGAGGAGAAGGGTCCGAGCACACCTGCTGTTCGGAGGCTGCGTCCAGCTGGCGCCGAGGGCCCCCCCCCGGAAGGCCAGCCACCACCGCTGCCGGAGGGAGCCAGCGCTGCCGCGGGAGGAGCCGGGCGGCGGTCGGGCAGCGGCGGGGCGCCCCGGGGCCTCCCTTGCGGGCAATGTCTCTATCCACATCCAGTGCGTCTTGGAGTTTCGGACACTCTGTCCAAGGAGCAGGAGGCGCACTGGATATGGACTATAATCTGCCTCCAAAATGGCTCAATGGTTATCCATATCCAGTGCGCCTCGGCCTTGCGGAGCCCCTTCCGAGAAAGTCCAAGACGCACGGGATGCGGACATGAATATTGCCCGTGGCCCAAGGCAGCCGAGAGGACACAGAGGTTCAGTCGGGCCTGTCCGCCTTACAGGCCGATTCTGGAGGACAAATTACTCAAAACATGAATGTGGCCGATTTTGGACGAAGCATTACGAAATACCTTCAAACTGCACTCAAAATACTCAAACATAGTCAAACAAAAAATCCTCCGACTATGTTTTTTACCATGTTTGAAGATTCCCCCCTGTAGAGGGACAGGCCCGACTTTAACACAAGGGAGAGAGGCGCGCGGGGAGCGGAGGCCGCACTCAGCCCATGAGGTCCTAGCACAGGTGCCGAGAGCGCACGGCGAAGGGCGAGGCGCCCACAATTAATTACGATAGGAACAAAATGCACCTTCGGAGGTCCGCGCGGGCTTCTCGGATCTGCGCTGGACCCCTCGCGCGGGGCGCGCCAGGGGCCGCGCTGCGCCCGAGGCGTCGCCAAGAGACTCCAGCGCCAGTCCGAGAAATCCGCGCGGGAGCACCCAAAGTTCATGCTTGCGTCATTACTTGTTCCCCGAAGTGTCTCACCTCGTCCTGTTCTGATCCTCCTGCCCTGCTCGCGCTGCCCCCGAGGACCAGGGGGTGAGCTCGCCTTGCTGGCGCTCAGCTCCGACGGTGGCGTCACGGGGACCGTACACCTCGGCGTTCAGTAGGGGGGGTGAGGCGGGACGGGACGTTCCCACGGGCAAGCCTGAGCTGGATCGACTCGCGAAAACGGACCGGGTCGGAAACGGATCGGCTCGCCAGCGAACCATCCCGAATCGAGCCGAGCTCGGATCGCCGCGCCTGCCTCCGGCTGGCTCTGGCCGATGCCGGTGAATCGAGTCGAATCGAATCGAATCGGATCGCAGGCGGCCCTGACAGGCGGCCCTGACGGGCGGCAATGACACGCCGCGGTCCCTTTCGGGACGGAGCGGCTGCGCCGTAACGCCGAGCATTCGGGCTGACACTGAGACGGACGTGAACAGCGCAGCGAGCGTGGTGCAGGACGGGACGGGGGAGATGCGGGGCGGAAACGGGATTCGAAGACGGAGCGCGAGACAGGAAGGATACAAAACTGCACCTGCACAGCCTTTCGGAGGTCCGCGCGGATTTCTTGGATCTGCTCTGGACCGCGCGCGGTCGCCCCGATTCCTAATCTGACTCACCACACGGTGCTTGTGCGCTCGAATTATCTTACATAGACCTGGTCAAGGTAGAATGCAGGCGTCCGCAAAAATATGATCCGGTGTCCTGATTCAGGAATTATCCCTGATAACAACCAGCCCTGATAACACGAGGCTGAGGTGTGGTGCCGCACTTGGCATGGGCGCTCAGCCGCTACTCTTTACAAGCGTAACCCAGGAAGGTCTTTAATGCTGCTTGGGCTCCCCCCTAAGCTCTCGGCTGGCAATTCAACTCGTCCTTCCCCTCATCGGCCTTCCCCCCATCACCATCATCATCATCGCTACCAAAGGACCTCATCCCCCCTCCCGATCATCTGCGGTGGCCGCCGCCGGGGCCTAATCATTCTCCTTATATTGTTGGGGGGCTCAATCCGTCAATAAACCCGTCGAACAATCGTTTGAGAGGTGGATTTAAAAGGGACTTTTCTGAGGCTAGGCCCATCCAGACATGCGAACATGTGAAAGCACAAAAACTTCAAAAACACGGATTCCTTAACCCATCGACCATGCAAATACCGTTCTCGGGGCGTGGTCGGCAGGACTGCTGGCGTTTGCCTTCAAGCGGCCGCGAAACAGTCGATTGGTGGACACATGCCCATCCCAATGCCGCACCGTCTGGGGGCCCCCGACGCTCCGAGCTCTGCAATGAGGCGCTGGCGGGGGGGGGGGGCGGGCGCGGCAAGGACACGCCGCCGGCACCGAGCCGAGCCCCGTCGCGGGCGGCCGCCGCGCGCCAAGGGGGGCGCTCCTCACGAACCCGCGGGCGCACGTGTGCCCCCCGACTGCGGCGACGTCGGCCCCTCGTTCGGGGGGGTACGCCTCCCCCGCCCGGAGTTCCGACGTCCTGACCTCGACGGCTTTACGTCCCGGCACAAAACTCGCTGGCGCGCGCAAGATCAAAGACAGATCCACTCCGTGCTGCGCCACGGGACAGGGACAGCCCCGCACCGGCCCGCAAAACTCGAAGGAGGAGGATGCCGACGACGACGAAGATACGAGCAGAGGGGGAACGGAACCACGTGGCGCCAATATGGCGGCGAGTTCCTTGTCGCAACCGCCGCGGACCTCGCGCCAAAGGCCGCGCTGGCCGGCGCGAGCGCCCCAGGTGCCGGAGACCCTGCATCAAAATCAGCAGCGCCGCGCATGTGACTGACAGGCGCCAGGAGCCGCGCACTCTGGCATACAGGCGGGGAACGAGGGGTGGAGACGCTGGCCATCGCTCGGACGTCCATTCCCCGTGCAGTGTTTGGTTTGTTTTTTCCCTCCAAATTATTCAATGTGCTCCAAGATGGTCTAGATTTTCTGGCGCTGGCCTCGCGGGAACAAATGCACATGCGATGCCAAGGACGGGGAAGGCCGTTCCCCACCCCCATTGGAATGGCCTTGGCCACGCTGGCCGCTGGCCGACTTGCCACCAGGTTTTTCGCAGGACCTGTCCCCACCTGGATGGGCGGGCCAGTGGGGATGGGGATTGGGATCGGTTAGGTCATCGTCGTCGCCCTCCTCTTCTTCCTCCCTCCTACCTCCCCGGGCGCGGTGGTATGCAAGTCCTCGCACCCCTCACCTCTCTCCCAGGACTGCTTCCCGAGAGTGGTCTCACCTCTCTGGGCTGACGTTGCGGGGTTGCTGTCGGTCGCCAGTTGGGCCCCGCCAGTTTCCCCTAAAGATGCTGAGCCCGCAGTCCCAACATGCCACCCCGTTGGGAGGTCAACAACCAACCAACCAACCCTTCCTACTCCTGCTCCTCCTCCTCTCCTTCCCCTTCCTCTCACCCCCGTTGCTCCACCTCCCCCGAAGACACCACGACGGACGACGGTGTACGGGCGACCGACGACGGGCGACCCACGACGGGTCGACGCGCGAGGCGGGGGGCTATCTGACTACCTACCAGACCACCCCGACCCAACCCGCAGACCCGAATTTCGGGGGTTCGGGCTTCATGTGTGTTTTTTCAATGCTCCCCGCCACCCCAACTGGAAAAGGAACGCAGATTGAGGCCTTCGGGTTGGGTTGGGGTGGTCTGGTGGGTGGTGGTTATCCACATCCACTTCCTGGGGAACCGATGCCCCGGGACCCCCAGGAGGCGGTCGATGTGGACACAGCTCGACAGCGCGCCGGGGGAGGCGCCGGAGGCGCCGCCAGGGGCCCCCCGCGCCGATCCAAGAAGTTCCCTGCCGCGGAGCTCGGAGAAAATATCTTTACTGAAGGGGAACTGGAACACACAAATAAATTCACACAAATAAGCATATCCCCCATATTTTCCCATATTTTCTGGGTTTTTGTCTCCCCCCCACTTCCCATATTTTCCCATATTTTCTGGGAATCGCCGATTAATTGTGTCTGTGTGTTTCTTCCCCTCCTGATTTACGCCCTTCTCAAACTTCGAAGGTGTCAACAAAAAAGCCCGACCCGGGCAGAGGGACGACGGGCGACGGCGCGACGGCCCGCGGCCTCCCCCCTTGCCGGCGAGGCCACCGAGCGGCCCACAGGAGCACCGTGACGCCGGGCCTGTCGGGCCCCGCGCTGCCGAAGAGCTCCTCGGCGGAGGCAACGACGGCTCCTCCTCCTCCTCCTCCTCCTCCTCCTCCTCCTCCTCCTCCTCCTCCTCCTCCTCCTCTTCCTCCGCCTCCTCCGCCTCCTCCTCCTCCTCCTCCTCCTCGGCTCCAGACCTCCAAAGTGTGAGAAAAAAAAGGTGCGGACGTTTTTCGTCGGTCTCGGCCTCTGGGGGGCCCTTGCCGGGACCCACACACCGGAAAGCGACTCAGGAAGCAAAACCGGCCTTGGAGCAAGGTGGGGGCCTCCTTGGGCCTCGTATTGCCAGCAATGCTTCTACTGACTGGGGACCTCTGGGCCGGTGGTGACTCGACCCAACTCGGCAGCTCTGCAGCCGTCAAGCTACCACAGGCAACGCGGAGTGAGGAGCGAGGGGCGCTTTTCTGGCCACGCCGAGCGTCGGCCACGAGTGGGTTCCCCGATGCGTCTGAGGACAGAAAACCAGACCGACAGGCAAGCAAGCCACACATTGAGCAGGGACCGACCGCAACGGCATTTCTATAGGCCAGAAATGTTCTAAGAACATTTCGTGGAAACCACAAAAGGTTCTTAGAACATTGTTTGGTAGGCCTAGAGGCACGCCAGGACGCTTCGTCACTGCTTGAATACGCCAGCGGAGCGTGGGCCTCGGCATGAGCGGAACATTACGCGCGCTGTTTCGGACCACAGGACGGGCGGACAAAGAAGAGCTGGTCGGTCGAGGAGCCGGAACGGACAGAAGAAGCGAGGAGCCGCGGGAGCGAGAAAGGGGAGGGAGGAGCGGCCCCACAGCGGAAACACAAACAAATACACATCCCCGATATTTTCAGGATGTTCGTCTTCCCCCCCACTTCCCATATGTTCCCATATCTTCTGGGGAATCGATGACTACCTACCAGAACACCCCAACCCAACCCGAAGACCCGAATTTCGGGTTGGGGGGGGTAAGGGTTCCACACGTGTTTTTTCGATGTTTCCCGACCCCCCCCCACTGGAAATCGAGGGTAAATCTGAGCCTTCGGGTTGGGTTGGGGTGGTTTGGTGGGTGGGGAATCGAGGATTAATTATGTCTCTGTGTGCTTTTCTCCCTGCTGACCCCTCCTGGCCCCGATGCGGGTTGTTCATTGGTCCGGCGTGCTGGCCGCAGGGGCGGAGCCCAGACCGTCGCTGGCCCTCCGCGCCTCGGCGGGCCGCTTCAGGCTCCCCTCGGGGATCTTCTGACGAAGGGGCCCCAGGACACACAAATAAATACACACAAATAAAACGATTCCCCTATATTTTCCGATATTTTCTGGGTTTCTGTCTTCCCCCCAACTTCCCATACTTTCCCATATTTTCTGGGGAATCGAGAATTAATTGTGTCTGTGTGTTTTTTCCTCCCCTGATCTGACCCGGGTCAATCCAGACCCGGGTCAGTCAGGCCTTGCAGGATCCTGCAAGGTCCTGCACCCAAGCCCGGGTCAGCGCGCAGGATCCTGCAGGATCCTGCACCAAAGCCCGGGTCAGTGCGACCCTGGCCGTGCAGGATCCTGCAGGATCGGGCGCTCTGGCTGACCCCCGTTTGCATTAACCCCCGTGTCAAGGTTCCCGATCCCCCCTCGCCTGCCGGAAGCCGGCAGAAGGCACGCGCGCCGTGCTCTGAGCGCCAGGCGGGAGCTGGGCGGGAGCCCGGGGCCGGCAGATGTCCCGAGGACGTCTGCCCCACCCTGCTGCAGCCTGCAGCGCGCTTGGTGTGTGTGTGTGGGGGGCGTTGCGACGTTTCGCGGGGCGTTGGATGGAAGGATGCCCCCTCGAGGGTGGGTGTAGCGCTTGGCGCTGGGGGTGATGGGGCGGGTGAAGGTATGGTTGTCGCAGTCGCCAACGGTGTTCGGGGGGGGGGCTCCAGGAATCCACGGGCCCGTCCAGAGCGAAGTGGTCATGGGAGAAACCCGTCCGGCTCCAAGGCTGAGCGGACGACGGCATGCGTGTGGACTTTCGGAGAGCTGCGCGAGAGCGCGCCCCTGCTTCCCGTCGCTGGGACGCGGGGCGCGCTTCTGGCGCCACCCAAGGGGTGTGGGGAGAGGGGCCCAGCGCCAAACAAGGAACACCGCGCGGGCCTCCGAGAGTTCATGCTCATGTAGTCGTAGTAGTAGTAGTAGTAGTAGTAGTAGTAGTAGTAGTAGTAGTAGTAGTAGTAGTAGTAGTAGTAGTAGTAGTAGTAGAAGTAGTAGTAGTAGTAGTAGTAGTAGTAGTAGTAGTAGTAGTAGTAGTAGTAGCAGTAGCAGTAGCAGTAGCAGTAGCAGTAGTAGCAGTAGCAGTAGTAGTAGTAGTAGTAGTAGTAGTAGTAGTAGCAGTAGCAGTAGCAGTAGCAGTAGCAGTAGCAGTAGTAGTAGCAGTTAGTAGTAGCAGCAGCAGTAATAGTAGTAGTAGTAGTAGTAGTAGTAGTAGTAGTAGTAGTAGTAGTAGTAGTAGTAGTAGTAGTAGTCGTAGTAGTAGTAGTAGTAGTAGTAGTAGTAGTAGTAGTAGTAGTTGTTGTTGTTGTTGTTGTTGTTGAATTCTCACTTCGGAAGAATAATTATTGTTAATCCCCCCACCGGTGCAGACTGTTTTTTCTCAGTCAAAATGTGCCCCTCGACGCTCGCACCCTGTTTTTTGACAGGGAAAGTCTTCCTGCTCAAACTGAGCCTTTGGCCCCCGGATTACAACAACAACGGCTCCCGCTCGAGACTTCCTTACAATTTAGACAGGACCCCCGGTCCCGCCTGAGACTTCCTCGCATTTGATTCAGGAATCGCGCTCTCGCTTGGGACTTTCTTGCAAATTATGCAGGAATCGCTCTCCCGGCGCTCTGGAGTCGCGCTCTCGCTGGGGACTTGCTTGCAACTTATGGAAGAATGGCCTTGCGTTGGAATTTCCTGCAATTTGCCCAAGCGCCGCGCTCCCGACACCCAGGCACCCAGGAGTCGCGCCCGTTGTGGCCCCATGTGCGTGCCCTTCGTGGCCCCGCTGTCGCCATTTGTGTCCCCCTCACTGTCCTACGTGGCCCAGTTGCTACCTTCAGTGGCCCCATAGTTGCCTTCTGTGGCCCCGCATTATCTGCACTTCGTAGCCCCCTGCTCGTTCGCGCTCTTCGTGGCCCCATACGCATTCCCTTCGTGTCCCCGCTGTCGCCCTTCGTGGCCTACTTCGTGCCCTTCGTGGCCCTGCTGTCGTTCTTTCTCGCTCTCGCCTTCGCTCGTCGTCGCCGTCGTCGTCGTCGTCGACGTCGTCTTCGACGTCGTCGTCGTCGTCGTCGTCGTCGTCGTCGTCGTCATCGTCGTCGTCGTGGTCGGTCCCCTGTCCGTCCCTCTTGGGGTCGGGTCGACGGTCCGCGGCCGCCCCGCCGATCAGCGCTGCCGCTGGCCAGGCCGACGGTCCGCGGCCGCCCTGCCGCTTGCCGGGGCCCGGCCTGCAGGGAAGAAAGGTATACCCCCTCAAAGGGGTTCGATCGAAGACGAAGAGGGCGGGTATCGAGGGTTTGGGAAATACGCTTTATTGGACACTCGAGCATATATAAGGGCGAACGGTCTAAAAATTATTGTTGTTGTTGCTCCCTAGTCACAGGAGGCTCGACCAGCCACAACTGGAGGAGCTGCGCCCGTTGCCCCGAGGAGGAAAAGAGGAGGTGGGGGAAGAGAAGCAGGAGGAGCAGGACGACGACAGGACTTACGCTAGGATCCCAGTCGATCTGAGTTGACCTGACGTGACAAGGACGAGGAGGAGAGGAGGGGGGCGGAGGAGCCAACAACTGCATGAACATACACTTCTGGAGCTCCGCGCGGATCTCGTGGATCTGCGCCGGACCCCCTTCCCTGGCCCGCAGAGCGCGCCAGGGTTGGCGCCAGAGACGCCGCCAGGGAGGCCCAGCGCAGACACAAGCACTCCGCGCGGAGATCCGACAGCTTATGTTCATGCCGTACTCTGTTCTTCGAGAGGAGGAGGGGGAGGTCGGTCGGTCGGTCGCTCGCCATGCAATCCCAGTCCGAGCTCAAGTTGCGCAGATGCGGATCGGCGTGCGCAGACAGGAATACTATGCTCCCCGCGTCAAAAGCACGGAGGCTCCCTCTCTAAAATGCCAAACCGAAGACACCAAGGCCCAGCTGGGTCGGAGTGCCAACTATTCGAGCGGGTCCCTCATGCCACCGAGCAAGAGAGCGAAGACTGGAGAGGGGCCGTGCTCGCACCGCCCTTAATCCGAGCCAGCACCCCTCGGGCCGAGCGAGAGGGGGGGGCACCAAGGGGGGGGAGCTTGAGAATCAGCCCACGGAGCTGATTTTCCCAGCACCTCCCGGGAGGAATGAGCCCCTCGGTGGGGCTGAAACACCAGCTGCACGCAGCAGACTTCGTACCCCCCCTTTCGGGAGCGGCCAAGAGGGGGGTGTCCAAGAGGGGGGGTGCAAATCATGACCGGCGGCATGTGCGCGGCCCAGCGGGGGGGCCAGGGACGTAATGAAATGAGAAGAGGCGCCATGAAATCTGGGGAAATATCATGGCCCCCGCCATGATATCCACCCCCCCCTAGTCATCACCCCCCTCTTTTCCGCCCCCGACCCTTTCCCCCTCCCCCCCTCTTTAACAAGGGATACGTCGACCCCTATCCCAGGCTTCGTGGGGTTTCCGAATGGACCAGAAATTTGGGGCCCAACCCTGGGATATACGATGGGGGGGTGCCCATCCTCGATAGGGGTGCGTCCGAATAGCCCCCTTGGGGTGTATCCCAGGGTTTTTTCATGTTTCTGAGCGGCCAAACTTCTTGGGCGAAACTCGGGGATTGGGGGAGAAACATCGCCTTTCGTTCGGCCCGAACCCCCCCATGGACGAGCGAGAACGGAGGCGCCCCTCCCGCGCGCGGGGGCGAGGCCCGGGCCCAGGCGCCGCGGGCTCGGGACCGGGGGGTCGGCGAGGAGGGGGAGGGGGGGGAGGAGGAGGGGGAGGGGGAGGGGGGGGAGGAGGAGGGGAGGAGGGGGAGGAGGAGGAGGAGGAGGAGGAGGGGAGGAGGAGGAGCAGGAGGAGGAGGAGGGGAGGAGGAGGAGGAGGAGGAGGGGGAGGGGATGGGGAGGAGGAGGAGGAGGAGGAGGGGGAGGGGGAGGAGGAGGGGGAGGAGGGGGAGAGGAGGAGGAGGAGGAGGGGGAGGAGGAGGAGGGGGGGAGGAGGAGGAGGAGGGAGGAGGAGGAGGAGGGGAGGAGGAGGAGGAGGAGGAGGAGGGGAGGAGGGAGGAGGAGGGAGGAGGAGGAGGAGGGGGAGGGGGAGGGGGAGGAGGAGGAGGAGGAGGGGGAGGAGGGGGAGGAGGAGGAGGAGGGGGAGGAGGAGGAGGAGGAGGGGGAGGAGGAGGAGGAGGAGGGCTCCTCGACCATCCTCGCGTCGCACTTGCGGCGCTGGAACCGCTCCCCGGCGCCCTCGGGGTGCCGCGGCCGCGGGCCCCCCCGGGCCGGACGCTGGGCCTTGCCATCCGTCGTCGTCGTCGTCGTCGTCGTCGTCGTCGTCGTCGTCGTCGTCGTCGTCATCGTCGGCGTCGCTTCGTCGTCGTTGCGTCGTCGTCGTCGGCTTCGCTTCGTCGTCGTCGTCGGCGTTGACGTCGTGGTCGTCGTCGTCGTCGGCGTCGGCGTCGTCGTTAACGTCGCCGCTCCCAACGCTAACCATCCTGTGGTGTCGGGTCCTCGTTTTGCGGAGACAGCGCCCCGCGTACACTCCTCCTGCTGCCCCCCCCTTCTCTCTTTTCTCTCTCTCTCTCTTTTTTTTTTTTTTTTTGTTTTTTTCTCTCTCTCTCTCTCTCTCTCTCTCTCTCTCCCTCAGCTATAATCAGCTGTCCAATGACTGCTATGCTACTGCTACTGCGCATGCTGCTGCTGCCCCCCCGCTCCCTCCTCCCATCCCTGCCTCTGCCCTCCGCATGTCAACCATTTCGGTACACCCTTCACACGTTTCGTGCCCCCACAGGGAGCTCCACCGAAGGCCCCAGGGGCAGGGTTCGCATATCACCCCGCACCCATTTAGGTACACCCATCACATGTTTCGTGGCCCCACAAGGGGGCTCCACCGAAGGCCCCCAGTGGGAGCGATCGCATGCCGCTGCGCGCTCATTTCGGCATACCCCTCACGTGCTTCGTGGTCTCGTAGGGAGCGCCAGCGAAGGCTCCAACCGGAACGTTCGGAATGCCGCCCCGAACTCATTCTTGCACAACCCTCACACGCTTCGTGACCCCATAGGGAGCTCCGCCTACGGCCCCATTGGGAGCGTTCGAATGCCGCCCCGCACCCATATCGGCACACCCCTCACACGTTTAGTGGGCCCATAAAGAGATCCACTGAAGGCCCCAATGGCAGCATTCGCATGCCGCCCCGCACACATTTCGGCACACCCCTTACAATTTTCGTGGCTCCATAGGGAGCTCTGCAGAAGGCCACAGTCGGAGCGTTCGCATGCCAACCCGCACAAGCAAAAGTCGCCGCACCCCTAACACGCGTCGTGGCTCCAGAGGGAGCTCCGCCGAAGGCCCCACTTGTTGCGTTGACATGCCCGCCCGCACAGTTCTCGGCGAACCCCTTACAAGTTTCGTGGCCCCCTGGGGAGCCCCAACGAAGGCCCCATTTTGAGCGTTCGCATGCCGCCGCGCACTTATTCCGGCGCAACCCTCACACGCTTCGTGGCCTTAAAGGGAGCTCCACCGAAGGCCCCAGTGAAAGCGTTCGAATGCCGCCCCGCACCGATGTCGGCGCAACATCACACGTTTCGTGGCCCCATAGGGAGATCCGCCTATGGCCCCAGTGGGAGCGTTCGCATACTGTCCCGCACCCATTTCGGCACACCCCTCAAAGGTGTCTTGGCCCCATGGGGAGCTCCGCCGGAGGCCCCAGTGGGAGCGTTCGCATGCTGCCCCCACACCAATTTGGGCACACCCTTTACACTCTTCATGGCCCCATGGGGAGCTCAACAGAAGAGGATAATCACAACTGCATTACTCTCTCAAGATAATATTGAAGGGGGCGCTCCTGGAGACTCTCGACATCGAGGCTGGAAGCCATTTGAAAAACTGGCCAGGGGAGACCCTCGGAGTCTGGGGACCGACTGAGCGTATCTTCGTTGTCGACGTCGTCAACGTCGTCGTCGATGGCATCTTCATGCCATCGCGGGCCGAACGCGTCCACAAGCCTCGAACATCGATCCAGCTATAACGCAGGGCATGGCGACCCAATCCCCAACGTTGTGGACTTTTCGATTTGGGCCCAACTCGGGGACATCCGCCACCGTGCCCCCAGGCATGTGAGGGTGTTCCAGGATACCAGGTGCTGTCTGGTAGGGTTTCTGAAATTTTCGAAGGCCACCCCCGCTTGGGAAGCACCCACCTGCGTTCAACACCCCCTCTTCCCGAGCCCACAGCCCCTGGCAGAATGCGACAGATTCGCGCTGATGCCTCCAAAACGGCCCAGTATTGCTGCAACGCGGGCCACTTGGGCCTCAAGACTGCCCAAGATGGCTTCAAGACGGCCCGCGAAGCCGTCGAGGCGTCCCAAGAGGCGCCCCAAGAGGGCCCCGAGAGGACAATCACTGATTCCCCTTCAGTTGTTCAATGTATGTTCGGGTTCTCGCCTTTTCGAGCTTCCGACGTCCCAAGACGACCGAAGACGCCACCAGGACTGCCCTCAAGGGCCCCAAGACGGCCCAAGAGGGCTCCAAGACGGACCCCCCCTGCCCGTGGAACGGGGCTGGTGGAAAAAAAACCCTTGTGGAACGGGACCCCCCCCCCCCCGCCACAGGAACGGGGCTTGTGGCACGGCCCCCCCCCCTCGTGGAACGGAACGGGGCGCCTCCTGGACACAGCCATGGGTCACCCCCCCGTGGCTGGCAGGCCTTCGGCCAGCGCGGTCCTCTGGGAACGATGGGTAAATTGAAGGGCCCCAGGACACACAAATAGATACACACAAATAAAAAGATTCCCCATATTTTCTCATATTTTCTGGGTTTTCGTTTTCCCCCCCACTTCCCATATTTTCCCATGATTTCCTAGGAGTCGACGATTAATTGTGTCTGTGTGTTTTTTCCCCTCCTGATAAATGCCCACTCTCCCCCCGGGCGCCCTTCGCGCCTCGGCAACGCTCCCCGTCGTCCGCCGCATGGACGGGCCTTTTCGCAAAGGGCGTAACGGGCCATCCGCCATGCGGACGCCCTTGTGGATCCGCTTCCGTGGAGGCGCTTCCCGTCATCCGCCAAGCTTAAGTCGGGCGTGTCCTCCTACAGGGGAATTCTGGACGCAAAATATCCCCAAATGGTAAAAAACAAAATAAACTAAACAAAAATAGTCCCCAGACTCTCTTTTGATCATTTTAGATACTCCTCCAGTAGAGGGACGGGCCCGGCTTGACGCCTAGCGAAGCCCAAAGCTGCTGGAACGAGCGTGGGGTCATCGCACCCCCGGATGCACATGGCTGGCTGGCGAAAACCATCCGGAGAACCATCACCATCACCATCATCGTTATCGCCATCACCATCACCATCAGCATCGTCATGATCACCGCCATTATTATCATCATCGTCATCATCATTACCATCACCATCGCAAGCATTACCATCACCATCGCCATCGCCATCGTCAGAATCATCATCGTCACCACCACCACCATCATCACGTTCAGCCTCATTATCATCACCGCCATCATCATCGCCACCATCATCATCGACGTCATCATCAGCATCCGCATCATCATCATCATCATCATCATCATCAGCATCATCACCACAACCATCAACATCATCACCATCATCATATACTCGGCCGTTCATAGATAGCTCGGCGAACATAGCACCAATCGTGAACGCGAGTTTGACCTATAGAAAATGGATTCCATGTTTTGGACCGAGAACGTTTTTCTATCGAACCTGACTTGTGCTATGTTGGTCGCGTTTCGCGCGAATCCTCTCGACTCCGCGGGCCAAGGGGATGGATGTAGAGAGAGAGGGAACAAAGAGAGAAGGCGGATGTATTGGAGAAGCCTCGCCCCTCACAACGCCGCCCTGGCGGCGAGAGAGGGGGGCTCTCCTGATTTGTGCTACGTCAGCCGCATGCTATGTGAGCCGTTCTGCCGAGACCAAGTCAGGACGGAATGGGGGAGGAAGGTGGAGGGACGGAGGGGGTGAGGGAGAGAGCGAGGAAAGGGAGTAGAAGGAGGAGGAGGAGCCACGCTGATGGCCGCAGTCGAGAGGAAGAGGAGGAGGTGGAGAAGGAGAAGGACGAGGAGGGAGAGGACGAGACACGCGGGACCAACATAGCACAGGTCAGCAGGATTGGGGGGCATCGCCTCCAATCCTGCTGACCTGTGTTATGAGGGGCTGGGAGGAGGAGGAGGAGGAGGAGGAGGAGGAGGAAACGAATGTGCGCGGCGCTCAGGCGAGAACCACATTTTGAAAACCATCCGCCCTGAATCCATGAAACTCCTTGCAAATTTCAAAGACGAATGTGCGCGGCGCTAAGGCGAGAGCCGCATTTTGAAAACCACCCGCCTTCCATCTGTGAAACTACTGTCACTTGTTAAGCTTCAGAATCATAGATGGTGGGGAAGTCTCAGGCGAAACGCCCGGCCCGCCCTAAAAACTGGCCTCGGGGTGCGACAGGGAGGATCATGGGGGGGATGGGCGAGGATAGCACAGCGCGCACATAGCTCATCACAGGGAACGGGGATAATTAGAACGCAGAAACTTGGACAGGGGACGAACCTCGATTTCCCCGGAGCGCAAAAAGGCAAAAGTAGCCGAGACATCAAAACATTGGTTTCAGAAAATAGGAAGAAACACGGCGTTCGAATATTACACGTTTCGCGGCCCCACAGGGAGCTTCACCGAAGGCCCCAGTGGCTGGGTTCGCATGCCGCCGCCCCGCCCATTTCGGCATACCCCGGGCACGTTTCGCGGCCCCACATGGGGGCTCCACCGAAGGCCCCAGTGGCAAGGTTCGCATGCCGCCGCCCCGCCCATTTCGGCACACCCCTCACACGTTTGCTGGCCCACAGAAAGCTCCCCCGTCCTTCGTCGTTACCTGCCTTGCGATTCTGGGCCCTTCGCGATGATACATACTTTGCATGTGTTTCGAGTCCTCGCCTTTCCGGGCTTCCGACGCTCCAAGGCGGCCGAGAAAGCCACAAACATCGCCCCAAGACGGTCCAAGAACTACCGAACGCGCTCGAAAACTACCTAAGATGGCTCCAAGACGGCCAAAGGCGCCCCCAAGACAGCCCAAGGCGGCCCCAGGACAGCCCAAGAGGGCCTTCGCAATATGAAGGAGGAGGAATATCAATGATCCCCTTTGGGGACTCCTTTAGGCTTCTCGTCGTCGCGGCTGGGTACCCATTGAAAGTCTGGTCAATACGAACCCGTTGAAAGAGTTGGGAACACATTTGCGCGGGGAGAGGGAGAGAGTGGGGTAGGGAAGATGGGGATAAGGGGGGCATGATTAGGAGGAAGACGGGGAGCAGGATGAGGAGGACGAGGAGGATCAGGGTGAACAGTAGCAACGATGAAGAGGACGAGCAGGATGGCGCATAGGACTAGGGCACACATTTCTATTCAGCAGCTGTGAAGTGGCAGTAATGATCAGAATGTCAAGGACGCGACAAAATCTGTCAATAAGATTTCGCACGTACAGCTGAGGATCTAAGCTCGCGCTGCGTCTCTGCGCAGAAGCAAGCTCTTCGCACTCTCTCTCATTGGAGAGGCCGTGCAGACATCGGCGAATCCTCTGAAGCAGATCCTGGAACTGACAAAATATTCGGATCGAACCTCCGATCCCCGCTTGCCGGGGGTGGAAAAGCGCAAGATGATTGACTGTCCCCTCTTTCCCCCTTCCCTGGGGGGGTCCGTCCACGAGCTCGTCAAAACACCTCAGGGGCCCTCGGAGCCTCAGAATCCACCCTCCGTTGCTGCCAAGATGCCCAAGACGGTAAGATGGCTCCGGAGAGCTCCGCCACGCTGGAGAGGCCTCAAGAAAACCCAATCTGGACTCAAGACGGCCCACGACGCCCCCGAACCCCCCCCGACTGGCCCAATACGGCCCAAGGGGCCCCCAAGAGAGCCCAGAGACGGCCCAAGACGCCCCCAGGACGCCGAAGGAAGGTCCCAAGAGGACCACCAAGAGCTCCAAGAGGCAACATTCATTGATCCCCACGCAATGCTTTATGAATTCTGCGTTCTCGCCCCTGCGGGCGCCTGCAAGCCCAAGACGGCCCGAGAGGCCCCCGAACTGGCTGGGAGACGGCCTAAGAGGCCCCCAAGACGGGAAACAGCCAAATTTGGGCACATGAGGAGCCCAAGAGGCCGAAGGGTCCGCACGGATCCCGAGAGCCCTCTCCCACACGTTGGCTCCCAAGACTACCAACATCCTTCCAGGATGCCCCTTAAGAGGTCTCCAAGAAACCCAAAGAGGGCCGCCAAAACACCCCGGGAGCCTTCAAACAACTCCAAAAGGCTACCCCCCCCGGCCTCCAAGAGGCCCACAACAAAAACCTGCAACAAACGCGGAAGAGGAGAACAAATCCGCAACAACTACACGCAGGCCGCACGACGGGAAGTGGCAAACAACACACGCGAGACATCGAAGCCACACATCTCCTTTTCTTATGGGGGGCTCGCGGGATGACGCACGTCTCTCGCATCCGCCCGCCCGCTGGTCTCAGAGTGAAGTCGTGCCTGTCCCCCTACAGGCCGATTTTGGACGAAAAATCGAGAACAGCCAAAAGAAATACTAAAACCAAAAAATCAGAAATGGTCAAACAATAGTTCCCATACTATTTTTTGACTATTTTTTCATATTCCCCCTGTAGAGGGACAGGCCCGACGAATCTCAGAGGCGTGTGCAATTTGACTGTGGGAGCTCTCAATCAGGGCGTCAACCACCCTTTTCCCCCCAGACGGGCTGCGGCACCCGCCCTTTTCCAGGGGCCCCGAGGCGGCTTCCAGAAAACGTCCAACACGACGTCGAACTTCGGACCGTTCACAACAATATTCCGGGTTGCATGCTCGAAACGTGTCAGCCACTCCAGGGGACCCTTCTTGGCCTCCCAAATCTATTCCTGGACCCCCACGAGCCTGACTTCGCCAACAAGCTGCATCGTCATACAATTTGTTTCAACGGTTTCAACCTCGCCTGGGATCATCCAGACGCCTCTCATCGCCGACGTTCGTGCGGCCCTTGTTGCCGCATGTTGGGCAATCGTCGGGCCGTGTTGGGTTGATACTGGGCCGTGTTCTGGATATGTCTTGCCTTCTGCGGTGGGTAGGGAACGGACAACCAAAGTGCCAACATCCATATCAACGTACCTTTGGTAATGATGACGGGCATAGGTCAGCAACACGGCAATCCGAGCCCAGGTTGCGATGGGATGGAGAAGAAATGGAAGGCAGAACAACGAACAACACATACGCGCACGCATCTGCAAGATCTGTCCCTGTTTTCGGAATATGTTCGTCCCGTCGTAGAGTCATCTTCGCAACTTCAGGCGGTGAGCGCGAAGCGTCTCGAATCTAGCACGGATGGGCTACAACCAAGTCCAACAAATCTGTGCTGGTGACGGGCAACCGCTGCAGCCGCATATGGACTTGAGCGTTCACGCGCACCAGACGCAGTCGTATTCCATGCAACACTCTGAGCACACGAGGCGACATGGGCCTGCACCTAGAAACGTGAGAATCCGGCCGAATTTCCGCCCGGCGCACTGGAAATCACATCCCGCGCGCTCGTGCCCATCCAGCTGCGAGCCGCTGCAACGCTGTCCTGCTCGTGATCGCCGCTGAGCATGCCCACTCCTGCTGGCCTGGGCTTCGAGAGGCGCCGCAGGAGGGCGTAGGCACCCACGGCGAGGCCCGCGAAGACGATGACGGCTACCAGTCTGGCGTCGACCACGTTCTGCTCGCCGTCGACGTCCGCTCCGTCAATCACCTGAGCGACGAAACGCAACGGGTCTTACAGTCGGGGCGTTGACCAAAGGAATCTTAATTAAGGAACGAGGGACCTCGATCCCAAAAGTTAAGCTTCGATTTCCCATCGAAAACCTCAGGAAAATCCAAGCCAAGCTGTAAAACAATCAAGAAACACCGAGCCCTTTCCCAACGAGAAGGGTTCCTTCTTCAGCGCCCTGACTGTACGCGAGAGCGCGGTGGCCGACGCGGGCCGCCAGCGCGGCGTGCCACCTTTGAAGCGAGGGCGCTCACGCGCCACTTTGCGCGGGCATCTCACGCGCGCATGTCGGCGCAGGACGACCCCGTTCTCTTCAGACGCTCACCTGGCGCCCGCGCGTGGGACTCAAGAACTTGCTCTTGCCAATCTTCTGAGCAGTTCGCTCGGGGTCCGCGATGGCGCTCTGAACGTCGTCCCTCCTGACGGCGTCGCTCAAATCCTGCCAAGTGGACCCCTTGACGATCGCAGCGCCCTTCTTGGCGCCGTCGGCACCGACCAAATCCATCATGTCCTTCACCGTGGCGGTCTTCGCCTTGTCGGCCAAGCCGGCCGCTTCTGCCCTCTGCCCAGCCCAGGCGCGCTTCGCCCGGCCCACGGCCTGACCTTGGTAGTCCCCAAACGTGGTGGTGACAACACCTGGCGGTGAGTCTCGGGCGATTTGGTGTCACCACCCGGTTTGGGGACTCGTGCGGTTTTCCGAGGATGTCCTGGACACTGGTGGGTCCAGGAGGCACACAAAACCCGGTGGTGACCCCGCGTCCCCCAACCCAGCGGTGACTTTCTTGGGGGATTCCAGGTCGCCACCCGGCATCTCACCACCCGGTTTGGGGGTTCCCAGTGACCCACTGCCGAGACGGGCGTGGCGGCCGGACCGCTCGCTGCCCTCACAATGTCCTTGACGCTGGCGTCCTGCACGGCGTCGGCGATCTCCTGCCCGCGCTCGGCAACTCGCGAGGCGGCGCCTTCGATCCTGGCCCCAGTCAGCTTCGCAATCGCCCCGGCCACGCCCCCTGGGGTGGCCTTGCCGACGGCGTCCTTGACGCCCCGACCTCCGAACGCGTCGCTGAGAGCGTCCTGTGGGAGGCGAACGGCGCCGATGCCGCTACTCCTCGGACCTCTCCCAGGGCGCGGTCTGGCCAGAATCCCACCAGCCCCTTCGGCGGCGGTTTGGGCATGCTTCCCTTTCATCTTCCCCCTTCCCCTTCCGGGAGGGGAATCTCACTGCTCCTGATTATTGTGCCCGACCAGCGACAGACCAGGGACAATGCGGCCTGTCAATAAAACAATGCAAAATGCACTGTGCGGCAAAATCTTGGGTCATGTTCGGGGGCCCTCGAGCACTTTGTATATTTTTGTTGACAGGGATCGCGGGGGTGCCAGCATACGGCCTGCTGTGCTCAATGCAACCATCCTTGTCACAAAAGAAATGCAAAGTGCAATTCGCGGCATAATCATAGGGATCATGCGCGGGAACCTAAGTTTCCACATCCTAAATGGATTTCTTATTTTCTCCGGATACCTCGTACAGTCCTGGCACCTCACCCCCTCTCCTCTTCTGCCGTCGCACGTTCACTCGCTCAATCACTCACTCACCATCATCATAACACCTTCAGCTTCTTCTCCCTTCGCACACTTACTCACTCAATCATTCGTACCATCATCATCAATCGCACACTCACCACACACGACCATTCTATTACGCAATATATCATTCATACCCAATCGTTCTCCCCATCATCATTAGTCACATACTCACCACACACGTTCGCACTATCACGCACTCAATGACTCACGCACCATCATCACCACTGGCTTTATCATCGTCATCCTCATCACCATCATCATCATACTCATACCAATCATCATCATAATCAACATCATCGTCATCGTCATCGTCATCATAATCAGCATCATCGTCATCGTCATCGTCATCGTCATCGTCATCATCATCATCATCATCATCATCATCATCATCACCATCATCATCCTCACCATCACCATCACCATCATCATCATCATCATCATCATCATCATCATCATCATCATCAATCACATCATCATGACCATCACTCGCCGGTGTGGTGTCGTGGGAGGGGGCCTCGCCTGTGAGTAGATTGTGAGGAAGTCCCAGGCGGGAACCGCCTCCCTATGGGGCCCGCCCTTCATGTTTGAATCCGAGGCGGGCCATCGGCCTCCTGTAACGGTCGTCACTTTGGGGCTCCGGAAGCCTGAATCCCACCAGCCCTCTGGGCGCCGGTGGTTTAGGGAGTTTCCTCTTCCACCCCTCCTTCTTCCCCTTCGGGGAAGGGTCTATCACTGCTCCCTATGAATGTACACCCCCTCCCCCGGGCGACTGGGAGCCAACCCAGGTCCATGGGGGCACCCCCCCACCATCCATTGTGAAAAGCTATACAAAACACACTCTGCCCCCACCAGCCCCAATACAAAAAAAAAAAAAACATTTCAAACCACACTCTGTCTCAAAATTCGGAGCATGCGCAACAAACCCGATGCGGCTTCCCCCCACCATCCTTGTCAAAAAACAATAAAAAGTACACTTGGCGGCGGTGGCGGCTGCGGTGGGGGCAGCGGCTGCGGCGGCTGCGGGGGTGGCGGCGGCGGGGGCGGCGGCGGCGGGGGCGGCGGCGGCGGCGGCGGCAGAGGTGGCGACAGCGACTGCGGCGGCAGCGGCTGCGGCGGCGGCGATTTGGCAGCGGGGGAACGAGATGCGGCCTCCCCCCACCATCCCTGTCAACAAAAGTAATACAAAGTACACTTGGCGGCGGCGGCGGCTGCGGAGGCTGTGGCGGGGGCAGCGACTGCGGCGGCTGCGGCGGTGGCGGCGGCGGGGGCGGCGGCGGCGGGGGCGGCGGCGGCGGCGGCGGCAGCGGTAGCGACAGCGACTGCGGCGGCAGCGGCTGCGGCGGCGGCGGCGATTTGGCAGCAGGGGCGGGGCGGCGGCGGGGCGGCGGGCAGCGCGGTGGCGGCGGCAGCGGCGGACAACGGCGGCGGCGGCGGCGGCACGGCGCCGGCACGGCGCCGGCGGCGGGGGCGGCGGGCGGCGGCGGCGGCGGAGGCGGCGGCGGCGGATTGGCCCCCAGTAGCTGGCCATCCAAAGACGACTGCTGCAGATGCCGCGGCTCGGGCCAGGCTCGGGTGCTGCGTATGTGTTGAGAAGGCGGGTGGGAGTGAGCGAGACGGCTTGCGGGCGGGGAGGGCGTCTTGACCCCTCCCCCTACCCCCTCCCCTGGACAGGGGGTTCCGCGAAGTGTCGGAGCGTTCAAAATGGCCTCGGCGAGGACACAGCAATCATTGGTTTTGCTATGGTTTTGTCCCAATTTGGCCCCCCGAGGGGGGACTCCAATTAGACACCCCCCCTCTTGTGATCGATCTCGCCCAAGATGGCCCAAAAATGGCCCCCAAAGCTCCCAAAGGTGCCTGAAGAGGGCCCAAGAAGTGGCCAGGAAGCCACAAGAGGCCCCCAGGATGCCTCCAAGAGGCTCCAAGAGACCCTGAAAAGGCCCCAAGGGACCCCCCAGAGGCACCCAAGATGCTCCAAGAGGTCTCGGCGAGAATGCCAAATCATCGATTTTACAGAAAGGTGTTAGCCACATATTGGCCTCTTTGGGGGGCACTGATTAAGATGACTCCAAGAGCGCCTAGGAGAGAGAGCCCAAGATGACCTCCAAGATGGCTCAAGATATCCCAAGATGTCTCATAATGGCTTCTTTTGCGTGCTGCCCACTTCCCTGATCGAGGCACTTCCTCTGGGCATCGTTTCTGGATGGGCTGGTGGCGATACGAGAACCGTCAAGAACGTGGAAGAAGCATCAGGCGGGAGCCGCGTCCGAAGCGGGTCATCGGCCTCATGTAACCGTCGCCACCTTTGGGCTCCAGAGGCCTGAATTTGGAGGAAGTATCAGGCGGGGGCCTCGTCTGTAAGTGAATCACAAGCGAGAACCCCCTCCCTATGGGGCCCCCTCCCTTGTCGGTGTCGCCCCCGCCTGGGGCGCGCGGCGATGCATCTCGCTGTCGGACCTCGCGCGCGGGCGTCAGGGCGACCTTGCGGGCCGAGCCCCGGCCCCGAGGGGGCGCGTGGATCCTCTCCCCCGCAGGCAAAACCTTTCTGCGCGTCGCGCATTAGTCGTCCCGCTGGCGCGCCGGCGCGGCCCTCGCCCCGAGTGGCGTCGCGAGGCCACGCCGCCGCCCCGCGGAGGGCGCGGGCTGCCCTCATGCGGAGCCCTGGCGCGAAGACGCGGCCGCGCGGGACCGCCGGGCCCCGCTGGCGGCGGCAGCGGGCGTTTGCGGCCCAGTGGCCCCGTGCCGCCGCCGTCGCCATCCTGGCGTCGGCGCCGTCGCCTGCCCCTGCCCAGCGGCATCTGCAGCGCCCGTTTGCCATTCGGCGCACTCTGCTGGATCAGCGGCGCCGCCGCAGGGGTCCCCGAGAGAGCCTCGCCCCGCGCATCTGCGCCGCGAGCTGGCCCTCTGCGCTCGCCCCGCGCGTGGCCCCGCGAGCGGCAGAGCGCGCGCGCAGGGGGAGCGGCGCGTCTTCGGGTCGCACTTGGTCATCCTTGAATTGCACCTGCGGCAAATTTCCTTGCCGCCTGGCGTCTGCGAGGCAAGGCCCGCGCCCTGGTCAGATCCCCGGCCGCCTCCTTTGCGCGCCCCGCCCCTGCGCGCCTACTTCAGCGGGCAAACTTCCCGCCGCCGCGGCCGTTGCGGCGCCAGCTGAGACCTGTCGGGCCGCCGGGCAGGCGAGGGCCAGCAGCGCCGCGAAGTAAGGCAGCGCGCCTTGGCCACGGCGGCGCCCGTCGCCCTGCGGAGCGCCGCGTGGAACTGCGCGCGTTCCTGCTGCGTCTGTTGCCAGGCCTTCTTGCGCCTCTGATGCTCGATGCGACGCCCGGTTCCGCGGCGGGCGCGCAGCCGCGTCGCCCTGTGCGCCCCTTGCTGCGAGGTCCCAGACGCGCCCTCCTAGCACGTGATCTAAATGCGCTTGATACTGATGCGGGCTCCCGCCATGCAGCTCCTGCCTATTCGCGCGGTGTTGACCGATCACGGGGGCGCCTGCGTCCGCAATCGCCGCGCGCGTCCGCGGCGCCGCTGGACGGCGGTTTCGACGGTCGCGGCCACCCTGGAATATGTCGCGCATCGCCACTGAGCTGAACAAAACCGGGATCAGGAGATCGGGGCCCTCGCCCTCATCGTGGACCGCCGTGAACCGAGCCCTCCTCGAGCTTCCATCATGCCTTCTCGAAAATCAACCGCGTCGCCTGGAAATCGGCTTCGCTCCGTGGCTTGACCCCTTGGCGAGCGTCGGCTCCACCCGCAATCTTCTGCCGCCGCTCGATCCGAGCGAGCGCCGCCTGCCGCGCGCGCCCGCGCCGCCTCCTTCGCGCGCGTTCCATCTGAGCCCCCGCGCCCAGCTCGAGCGCGCCTTTGGCGAACTCCCTGACGTCGTCGCATGAGTCCACCGAGGCGGGGGCTCATCAACGCCAGCGCATTCAGCGGCTTACCCTCCTTCGCGAGGAGTAAGCGCAAGTCCGAGCTCGGCAATGCGAGCGCCTCGCCCTCCGCACCACGCGACCGCCTGCGGCGGCGCGCCGTCGCCCTTCGGCTGGGCAGCGCAAGCGACGCCGAGGGTCAGACGGGACTGCGACGGAGACCGCACGGGCCTCAGTCCAAACCGATTGAGCTACGCGGGGGCCGAACAACGGCCCCCCCAGCTCGGCAGAGCGAAGGAGACGCGCCGCGCGGCCCCGACGCCCTGCACGCCTGCCACGGGGCACGCCCCGGCGCAATGGCGCCCTGCCAGGGCGCCCCCCCAGCTCTCGGCAGAAGGAGAAGCTGCCCACAGGCGGGGCGCTGGTCTCGCCGGAGGGGGGCCACCCGTCGACGGAGTTTCAGGACCACCCAGTGGGCGCGCCGGAATAGTTTCACTTGGGCGCGGCCCTCCTCTGCCGAGTCTGGACTATCTCTGGCCATTGTTGGCGCGGTCGGGGCCTCGCGGGCCGCGCTGCCGCCGGATCCCCGTCGGCGCGCGAGCGTGGCCCCTGACCAGCTCGCGCCCGAGCGGC